GCTGAATGCTGTAAGTGGGGCTTAATGGGACTTCCAGTAGGATCCTGGAAGACAGTAGTGCTAAGGGCAGTGTGCACTATGGAGGCCCAGCTCAAGAGCTTTCAGAGAGGAAAAATATGAGAAATTTAAATTGTCTTTAACCAAGACAATTCTTGTGATATTTTGGCTCAGTAAGTGGCTGCTTTTTACTCTAACTATAAGAATATGCCTGAGGCTACATAGGAGAGTTTGGGACTAATTTCACTGGCAGAGATGTCAAGATAGACTAATATTGACTACTTTGGTTACTTGTAATCACTCTTAGACAGATGTACAATGAAAAAGAACAAGTGGGGCAACAAAAAATAAAAATATACTGTTTGAGGAGAAAGGGAATAGCAGAAAATTTAATGTTAGAGGCTAGGTTTATGCTGAAAGAGATTAAGGAGCAGCCCAATGTGAAATGATGTAAAGGAAATGGTACCCTCTGGTAAAGAACCCCGCTCAGGTAAGTATCCAATTTGTAATCAGAACATGGCTAAGGAATTTTCTACTCTTCAAATAAAGAAAAGCTTTTGCAACAAAGGAGAGCCTATACAAACATAGTTCAAGGAGAGAAAGGAGAGAGCCAGGTACTTTCCCAAGCAGGAAGCCAAGTTTAGCATCCTGCTTGGGAAACAGCCACTTGGTTCTAGGTTTAGAGTCATGAAAGGCAGAGGAGAAAAGCGGTTATGGAATATTCCTGAGTCCAAAAGATATTGGAGATTCCAGAACCCTTGGATATTTGACAGGTAGAACTGTAGACAGGAGGGGAACCAGCCTGACAGAAAGAAGTGTGTAGAATTTAGCAATGCTGGAAGGAGCAGAGTCATTTAAGTTCTTTGACATCAGTTATGAAACTACCAGATTGGATTTTGTACTGCTGGGTTTTTGTCTTGATTTGATTCAGTATTCCTGTGTTTTTCCTGGATGTGGCTACTGTTGGTATGGTGTGCTGAATAAGACACTTGTTTATCCATACCTGTAAAATGAGTAACTTTTCCAGCAAGTCTCCCTACTTTAACTCAGTCTTTAAAAGGCCCTGTTCTCAGGGCATTTAAAGATATTTATTATCAAAGCTTTTCTGCCATGTGAGTGATTTAAAGAAGGCATTTGACCTAGCTCTCTTACTTAGGCCATATTTATGCTTAATTTAGAATAAAAATAAGTGCTAAGAATTCACCCTGGCCTTTGAAAGCTCTTCTCAGTGAAAATTTCCAGTAACAAGGCTCTGCTTCATCCCTCTTAGCAGCCCAGGATCCTCAGGTCTCAAGTAATGGTTGTCCATCTTCACAGCCACTTGTTAATGAGAAACAGCAGTCCCTCTTGACCTATAATGATGCATTTTATGCTTGAACTGTTCAGGTGTAGGGTATTCTTAAGAAAATTTGCTTTGAGTGATATATAACACAACTTCAACAGCAACTCTCGAACTCTGTGCACAGCACCTGTGACCACCTGACTTTCCTGTGTGTTCTCGTATGGTCCAATCAAAATAGCCACCCGAAGATTCAACTAAGCTGGGCTCATAGGGGCTCACAGACACAAAACCGATAATCATGGCGCCTGCATGGGTGTGAGCTAGGTCCCCTATACAATATGATCATGTAGCTTGGTGTATTGTGGGAATCCAAACAGTTTGAGTTGGAGGTTCCTCTTGGCACTGTTTTCCTCCTACTGGGTTGCCTTGTCCAGTCTTGATATGAAAGTTTGTGTGTAGTCTCATTGTAACTTGTTATTCATGTTCAGTTGACATCACAGGGAGACCTGTTCTTTTCTGAAGGGAAACAGAGGAGGAGTGGACCTAGGGGAGAGGATAGAGGTGGGGGCACTGGGATGTGTGGAGGAAGGGGAAATTGTGGTCAGGATGTAACTTATGAGAGAAGAAAAAAAAGGAGCCATAGAAATAAACATCCCTCTAGAATAAAGGTAAAGATAGGCCCACGGAATACCCCACCTTTTTTTCATTTCCTGAGCGTTTCTAGGCATTTGAAATTATCTCCCTGAGAATCCCATTGCTTTGGGCAAAATACTTATTTTTATCTCCTGCTATAGAAGATAACACAATGACCGACAGTCACTCAAGTGCACTTGATTGAGATGATAATCCCATGCTTCTGCTGCTAGGTGTGACAATCCAGGAAGGAAAAACTTGCTACCATGTTCTACAGCTTGATGAGCTAGTTGCTTTAGTGTAATTGAAAGTGTTTAAGTCAGCTGCTACACTCTGAGGTGTAGGGAGACACTCTAGCCCTGCCCAATAGTCCTGGGACAGGTACCAGGTAGACCCGGGACTCGCCCATAAGGGCGTGGTGAAGGAAAGCCCGGGGGACACAAGGGAGCTTCTTAAGGGGCGGCACGTGGGGACCCTGGCCCTTTTTTGTTCTGGCCGAGCTTGCTGGGTTCTATAACCTAGCTCTGGCCTGTGTCTTGCCTTGGTGTCATCTGGAATAAAGAGACTTTAATCCTACACTGAGGCTTCACAGTGTCAGGCAACTCTCAGGGAGCAACAGTAACACATAACTTGTATCCTTTGACATGCTCTGCCATTTTCCACTCACACCCAGAGAAAGGTCAACTAGAAACACAGGAGGGTTGAAGACAGGGACTCACAGGCTGAAAGCATATTAATTGATCAAGCTGAATGTGCATTTATGAGAAAAAAAGGAGATATCTGTCTGCAGCACTTATAAGCCACTGGTAAGAGGCATGAAGAGGAACAGCAGGGACAGAGCTTCAAATCAACTCAGTGGAAAGGAGATTACAAAACATTATCTCTATTGAAATTCAGACTAGGATTTAGACCCCCCAAAAAAGCACTACCTTTCAGTATTAAGGTGATAACAAACTAGACACTAGATCAAATGCACAATTTTATACCGAGTACAAGTTTCACAACATTGTGTGGGAAACATTTACATTTGACGTGCATCTGTTATTTGTTTGATATCTAAACTTAATTGGGATTCAGGGACTTTTGCTGGCTAATTGGGAACAGAGAAGAATCAGGTTGAAACGAGCTTCTAGTACTACATTGTGTCATGTATTCCCTGTTCATGGGATGGGCTAATAAATTTCATCTAAGCAGAAGGATCTCTGTACTTAGGAAAACTATCAGTAACTTAGGGTGTCATCTAGAGAAATGATATCCTAGCTAGAAACTGCCCCTGAAGGGATTCACTGAGAATCACTGACCCCCTGAGAGGCCTGCTAAGATCAGAAGCAGCTTCCTTCTTTCTAGGCATCAAGGGTCATCTTGTCCAATAGTGAGAAGCATGGCCATTCCCAGGAAAGAAATGGCAGAAATATGGTTGGAAGATGTAAGGGGTAAAATCCAAATGCTGAGCAGAAGAAAGGGGGAAGGGAAGCTTCTGGAAAATAATTCAACCTCACCCAAGTAGTTGAGATACAACAATTACCCAAACCAAAAAAATCAACCATGAGCTTGTACACATCTAACCTCTATTAGTCTCTCGAACTGGAGACAGATGCAATAACAGCAATCCAGGGAATCAGAGAGAGGACCACTGGGTAGTAGCAGGATGAGGCTGCCAATCAGGACGGCTGCAAGTCACAGGCATAAAGAGCACCGAGAGGATGGGGATTTGGCTGCACTGTAGATTTCTCAGTCTCTAGAACATCTTTGAATTAACTTAGATGGAGAATCATTGTCCTTTATTTTGAGGCTTAATAGTGGCTAGGGTTTGATGGTCTTAGATGGAGAATCATTGTCCTTTATTTTGAGGCTTAATAGTGGCTAGGGGTTGGGGGAAATTAAATAATGAAAGATGCATATACACTTTCATCAGGATGACAAGGGTAATGCATCAGGTATGCAAGGGTGATGTGTAGAAAGGAAACTTCTCTTCCCCTTTCTATGTTTTCCCTTTGCTAGATCCTTGGAGGCATTGCTGGTTTTTGTACAAGTGGTAAATGAATGTTCTCTCCATGCCAGGAGAGGGGTATCTAAAGAAAACAATTTACTTTTGTTTCTGTTCCTTCTCTAAAGGTTAGAGGTTTTCTTTTATATGGGTTCCAGCAATAAATCTATACCAGATAAAATCCCCAAATACAATGCAATAAAAATAAGACTGTACCTTGTTATCATTAAGAAATTTAGATATCAGTAATCAAAATAATATATACTGCTTGGGATAGAAATGTGTATTGTAAAATGTTAAGGATTCAGAAAAAATGAATTATTTCTTCCAATCTGTGCAATTCTGTTGATATGTCAATAATGTGAGATACAATCTTCCTTTAAAGTGTTGGTAACCTATATCTGAATGGTGTTGAACTGAAAACAAGTGTTCAATTAGCAGTGAATACAGAGCAATATAGTCAGGGGGTTTTCAAGGGATGATCTTTTGGGGTCAAGATTAATATAGCAGCAATTACCACAGTAGAAGTGGTGATAGCCAGCAACTAACTATTCAGTGCTAACATAACACTGCCAACAAGTCTTTGATACTTCCATGTTCTCATTTACACATGTGAAAACCAACACTTAGGACCATAAAATTCTTTTTCTATCTGTACCTAGTCTACACAGATCCTCAAGGTTTGTCTCATGACAATTTGATTTTAGACAACTATTCACCCTTCCCTTTGTCTCACATGGTAAAAGGAATATTGAAAAAAGATTTCAATGCACTAATGGCTTTGAATATACTAATGTTTGATTAGTAATTTCTTTTACGTTAGTAAGTAGTCCATGACAATAAACTTGACTTGGGACATATTGCCCCAAAAGCTTATTTTGTGGATAGTGAGATTGTGTCACAACTGGTAGTATGTACAGTCCCAGTCAGGCTAAGGCCCACTGTGGCAAGAGGGTACTGCAACTTATTTCAAAAGCCCTTCAAACTTTCCTGGAACTATCAGGAAAGTGCCATTGCCCAGCATGTTAGTGAACTCCTAACAACAAAAGTAGAATCCTATTGTAGGCTGTTTACTAAGTAAAATCTTCTTCTGCCCCACAGTTTAGCATGCTCCCCATTGGTACCTGTGAAGCTTCCTGTTGGCTGGTCTAGAAGCCCACTGCCAGGATGTGGAGGAAGGTGTGAGTACGCCAGTCACCTCCATTTTTCTGACTCAACATGTGGCCCCTGTTGGTAAGTTATATATTTTACGTTACACATATTACAACCATGCCCCATGTCTCATGAATTCCCATGTTGGATGATACTGTTTATTTGAAGACTGAACGTGATCCCTACATCTCCAAGTAGCTATAATTGCAATGCCTTCACCTGTGTTAAGAGCACTTCCTGGACTCATGACTCCTTGACTTCCAGGAGTTTTCTCTCTTCTGCCAGTGGTCCTGCAACAAACTCTGCTTGTAGTGAGCCTATCCTTCTCTGGGTGTGGCTTGGGAGCTTCTTTATTAGCTGGAGACCCCATAGCAGAGATGCTCCTCTCCACAAGTCTCACCTACATTGTTGTTATCTATCATTTGTATGATTCTTCTAATGGAAAAGCATCGTGGAATTGCTGACATATTGGCTATTTCTGGTGGTTAAACTCTACTCTTGGAAAATCCAAATTTCCTTTTTATATTTCATTTGGAAACTTTAGAGCAGTATAATCTCCCACAAGTCAAGGACAAAGTCTATGACCCTCAGGATCAATCTTACTTTTCCTAAAGTCTACCCATAGCATCTTCAAGGCTGGCTGTCCCCCACACACCTCCTTGCTGGAGTCTTAGATGTCACATTTCTTTTCAGTCATTTGGGTGGTTTTAACATCCAAGAATGCTTTGCCATGGCAAGATGTGTGGGCTCTGTGCATTGTGAAGCTAAGGGGAAGCTTCGTGTCACAAGGGATGGCATTAAAATTCAAGATAGGAAATGCCCACTTCCTGCCAGGTACATATGCCACATGCTTCACAGACTCCATTATGGGGGAGTGTTTCCTTAGACACTTAGTATTGCTTTCTAGTGGGAACACTCCAATCCCCATCGTATAACACTTTTGACATATGAAGTCTATTATCATTATCTGTATTCAGCCTAGTTTGCAATAACTGGCAAGAATTTTGTGTTGCTGACTAGCACTTACTGCCTTGTTCAACCTACCCCTCAGTCAGCAGTTGGTAACTACCATTCTACTGTCTCCAATGGTGCTTCTTATATTAGAACATGCAGCTCTTGTCTTCCACACTCTAATTATTTCTCTTAACACAAAGCCATCAATTCTATGTTGTTACAAATAATAGAATGTCGTATATTTATTGCTGAGGAGTATACTATTATGCATATATTCTACATAGCTTCCCTTCCATTTATGTGTTGATGGGAGCAGAGTTGATTCAATTATTTGGCTACTGTGAGTAGCTCTGCTTGCATGCCTGTTACATGAAAAGGAGTTTAAATGGATGGCCATGGCTAGAAGTCCACCTTCTGGGGGCTCTCTCATCCAGTGAAGGGATAACGGGAAGGACCTGCTCTAGAATCTACAGAGTATCTGTGGTTCTGTCCCTTTGCATCAACCTATAGCATTATCAATGGCATACTCTCTCTGCTTTTGGTTCTCCAGCTGCATCCTCTGTGTAAGATTTTATTACACTGGCTTACACAGAAACAAGGCTGCATAGTCCTGGCTCCACCCAAAGCTGTCTTCACTAGACACATAGGCATGAATGTTTCAGGCCTTGTTCTCAGAAAGGGAACCCAACTGGCCATGTACAACTCCTCATAAGGTCTACAGGATTTCATGCAGAATCATTTGTCAGATACATAGGTAGGGGAACTTGACATTGAATGTGTTTCACTATGGAAAGCACAGGTCGGCTATTGTTATAGCAACCCAACATCATTTTAGTCAACTTTCCCAAGAAGACCCAGAACTTCATTGCAAAACCCAGGGAATTTCTAAAAGGAAATGATCTTCATGTAGGACTAAAATCAGGCCAGAGTAGATGTGAATAGGGTTTTTTGTTGTTTGTTTGTATGATTGTTTGTTATGTAGGGCACTTTGGTGTGAAGGACAAACCTAGTATTTTAGAGGATGCAATGTCTTGGGCTTTTATTAACTTTGCCAAAACTTTTGGAAGCTTGGAGAAAAGGGTCATTTAAAGAAATTTACCATGTATCTTTAGCAAACCATCTTTAATGCCTATCTCTGTAAAAGGTATTCATGACATGAAAAAACCATAAAGCTTTCTGCCCTCAGGAAATCTGATCAGTGATGTTATTATTATAAAAGCACCTACATAACTTGTAAAACCAAGGCCATGCCCATGTTATGTCAGTCCCCATTTTATTTACAAACCTCAACAAAATAAGTTCTTGCAGTGATGTAGAGTGTGTTCAGGCATATATTATGTGCAGATTTTGTTTTCTGGGCAGTGTACCTCTTACAATGTGCCTGCACTGCAGTCTACAAGAAGCTGTATTAACTCCCATGTCAAAGGAAATAAAAGGCCTCATCTTGTCCTGGGCTGACACAGCTCACTTGAATTTTAAATTTCTGAGTAGAGGGGTAGCTCATTACTCACAAACGACTAGTTCCAACCCCATTTGAGATATGGCACTAGGCTGTGCTGTTGGGTGACCTGACACAGACCCTCAGTCAGTTCCTAGCTTGCTACAAGATAGAACTGGCCAGTAGAAACTGCATGATTTGGGCAGCTGGATATTTCCTCCCCACCCATAAGATTATGGGAAGTAGGGGATGGGGTAGGAATGAAGGTTAAGTTCCATGCAAATTCTTGAATGACAAACGAAAAGCTTTGGAATAGTTGAAGACAGTTGTGTGCCAGGAGGGTGATGAACCCCAAACTGCATAGGGACAGGAGATCTTTCTCTATGTGTCTATGCATTGGCCTACATTATAGTCTTTATCATAAGCCAGTGAACACAAGACAGATGCCTTAGCAAGTTTGGAGAACCATTCTATTTGTTTGTCTAGCCTCATTGGTGGAAGGAGCTACATTAGCAGTGGATCAATAGCTTGAGGTCTTTCTGTCACTATCTGAAGTGGGTTAGCCTTGTGGAACTTTTTTAAGCCAATGTAGAACAATGCTAGGTCTTGGGAATGAGTGCCAACAAAGATTGTGTCGTGGCATGTTTAGGTGATGTTAAGCAGTTGGAGAGTTGAACACTATTGTCTGAAAGCACCCAGAACAGCAATATCACTTTGAATTGGCATCAATAAGCCATAGAAACATGAGAGGAATGAACTCTCAATACATAGGATTCTGAACTACCTTAGCTGTCCTTTAATGGAAAAAACTCTTCAGCTACTAGCATGTCACCTGTACTCTCCATCCATTTCTGGGAAAGGGCTCTCCATAGTGAAAGAACAGCCCAGGCTCTTTGAAGTAGGACCTGACATGCCGCCTCCCTTTTTCTTTCTGGAGGTAGACCCTCCTTTTGTGCTATGGCAACTAACATCTTTCTAATGTGTTTACTGTGAAATTTCACTCAGCTTTTTCTTTTATGTCAAGGACTTCACAGAGGCCTTTTCAGACTCAAATATCCATTTAGTTGAGTGTGTTAAAATAGGGTAATTGACCTAACAGTTGTCTACTTCTACCTCCATGCTTTGTTTTTAGGATATCTACATTTTACAGAATTACCTATTACATTTAAAGTTTAAATTTTGTGAAAATTTGCTTTTATCAAACTTCTATATCCTCAGATCATGTATCTATCAGTAAAGTATCAGATTCAGAGCAAGTATATTCTCCCTCTGACCCTAAGGTAAATAAGACCACCCATGGGTGTTTTGTCCACTTCATCAAGCTTTGTGGAGAAAAAATTACTAGTTCCATTAACAACCACTAAGCAGAACAGCTGAAGTTTTTTGTTTTTTTCTTTTCTTTTTTTTTTTTTCACAATCCTGGGTTTCTTTACTTTACTTGCCAGGGTTTGCCTTGTGACCCAGCAGGAGATCATTTTAAATCAAAATACTTAGCTTTCCATGGGGTCAGTTCTATCCTGAATGAGACTAAATATAGTTACTGAAGAGCAGCTCTACTCAGCACCAATTTATGAGGTAATGATGCTTATCTTCAGTTCAGAGCCTGAAAACTTCAGGCAGGCATGGGGAATGTGAGGCAGAACATAATGAATTTTGGGACCCAAGATACACAAAGTATGCAAACAGGAAGGAAGCATGATGATGTTCAGAGTGAGAACAGCATGCCACAGCTATGAGTATGTAAAGAGTGTGTAAAGAATGAAGACATGCTTACCTTGACGGGTCTCTCAGAAGTCAGTGTAGAGCTAACAATAGCAATTCCTGCTGCATTGGGTAATGCTGGGAGAAAGCATCAAATTTCATTGGTTTAAGGATGGTTGGACATTAATTTACATGTGTCTAATCAGCCAAATTCTTTGAAAGAATTTAATTATTAAAGGAACAGGGATCTGGAGATTCAATTAAAAATAACATTGTAAGTAAACCATGCTTAAGGGAAGTTCCTATGCCTAGCAGTGATGGCCAACAAAAAACAAACTCAATAGTATTTTTTGAAGGATTTTTGTCCAAATGCTTTGTCTCAGCATCATTTTTTTAACCCTTAGGTTATATACTACAGTTTTCCATTTTGTGTTTTAATGAGTGTGTGTGTGTGTGTGTGTGTGTGTGTGTGTGTGTGTGTATCAATATGTGATTCTTAATGCTTTTCTTTGGCTCTTTTTTACTGTTAGTTTTGTCCTTTTCTGGTTTATTTGTTTTTATCTTCTTTTATGTTACTACTACTATTATTACTTTAGATGCCTGTTGGTTTTTAGTGAGAGAAAGAAAGGGTATAGATTAAGGTGGGTGGGGAGTTGCCAGAAGCTGGGAGAGGTTAGAAGAGAGCCATAATCAGAATTTATTGCATTAAAAAATCTAATTTTAATAAAAATATAGTCTAAATTAAAAAACAATAAAAGGACTGTATTAAGGGGTGTTTTGTACAATATGTTTGTGTAAAATAAAGGATAAGCCATAAGCAACACCTGAAGGACCAAGAAGGAACAAAGAACACTAAGAAGTGCAGTAGTTTCTAAAGTGCAGTCAATATATATAAAAAAAAAGCACCCCACAGGGAAAGAAAAATTGTCTGAGGCAGCTAAGAATGGACCACATGGATTTATCTGAAAACTAGAAAATAAGGACACAG